ATTATATATATATATATATACATACTTATAAAGAAGGCTTTAAAAAATCTGCAGGAATCTTAAAGCATTTATAAGATTTTTACAATTCTAATTCTCACAATATGTTGTCTTCGGAAACCGTTACATGTTGAAGAGTATCGCCGATGTTTAAACAATTGAAAGTATCCTTTGTTGCTGGTAACCAAGTAGTAGTCACATACTGGTCTAAAACAGGAGTGGGATTTCTATAAACAAAAGAAATTTTTATATTATTTTATTACAATCTTTTCTAGCAATATCGTTTCGTATTAACAGCTTCTAAAAATTATTAGGATACCTACCCTGTTTTTGCAAAATTGGTCCACATTTTTGTAAGAATTTCTAAAATTTTCCGATCTTTTGTATCTCTTGCCGGTGGATCATCAGTTTTGCAATTAGGTAAATAAAAGAGGTATGCCAATTCATCGATATGAGAGGCACCTGAAAATAAAATGTTTTATAAAATCAAAAATTGTAAAGTAAACAGGTAAAATTAAATTTTTGAGTACAAGAATGCTGTCAATTTTGTAATATATGTACCTATTGATGTCAAATTATTAATAGTGTCATTTTCATGCATAAGCTTTGTTGGAGTTTTTTGACTACCAACATAAGAAAATTCATAGAAATAAGTCGATGCTTGATCCTTTTTCCTTCTTTTATTCACGAAATCTTTAACAGGAAGTTTAAAATGTATGTCACTCAGCCATTGTATAATAGATGGAATATTTTCTTCAGTAAATGGGTTATTATGAAAATAGTGCTGTTTAACTCGATCTGTCAACTGAGTTATCTTTTCAGAATCCTGTGAATTTATAAAATTCTCCATATATCGTGGTATATCTGCATACATTATATTTAAAGTCGGCTGACTGATATCTATTAACAAATAAATAATCTAATTTTAAAAAACCACACTAGAAATCATTATACATATACAGGGTATCTAATTTCAAACAATATATCGCTTATGTCTAGGTAGAACGAATGAAACTGCGCGGAAAAGTTTTCTATCATTTTGTGATTTTGCGAATTTTTTAATTAACTCATTACTAATTGCGAAAATCGCAAAATGATAGAGGACCTTTCTGTTCAGTTTGACCCACTCTACCTGCACACAAGCGGTGTACCATTACGAATCAGACACTCTGATATAAAACTATTTATACATATATATATATATATAAAACCTATATACACGTAATATATAATATAATTATTTAATATAATTTAATATAATAATTATAAATTTATTAATTTTTATACCTTTAAGAAAGAAAATATATTCGTAAGATGAATTGCCAATCATGATAGGTATATTATTATCATCGTTAATTAATTCAGAAACAGGATGTGGAAGAACAGATTTTTCTGCTTTATCATTGATTGAAGGTCCAAATGGCATAAAAATAATACGTACTTCCTGTAGGGAACATACCTCTTGAATAATTAGCAGGTATTATACATAACATTTATTAATCTTATGCATAAATCTTTGCATAATATATTATGATATAGTGTTGAGTATAAAATAAAGAAGAAATATATAAAAAGTAATTCTCACCTCTGGAGTGAGAACTGTATATTGCGCTTTAACAATTTCGGCAGCAGATTTTCCTTGAAGAAAGCGAACAACTTCCTCAGGATCTTTAGAATTAGTACCAAGTATTGATGCAAGTTTAAAAGCCTTAGCGACTGAGTGCTTTATTATCGCCCAATCACATGTGCTCATACCACTCTGAAGAATAGCTTTTTGAAAGAGACCTGGGAGTACGCGCATGAAAGAAAAGAAGATAGTAAAGATATTAATATCTTTAAACGAATTATTTTTCATTTTATCATTATTGTTAAGTAAAAATATGTTATATACCTTTAGATAACGGCGACAGCATTAAGAAGTGCGCGCTAGAGCCACCAGCACTGGCTCCAAAAACAGTGATGTTGTTTGAATCTCCGCCAAAAGCCTCAATATTTTCTTTGATCCATTTTAACGCAGCAATTTGATCTTTCAAACCTTGATTTCCATTTGCTACTTTGTGGCCGAGATTTAAGAAACCTTGAAAGATAAAATTAGAGTATATATATATATATCAAGGGATGTGTATACTTGACGTTTACTACATCTTCTGTAAATATGGTGATAAGAAAGCTTTTCAAATATCTCAAAGAGATATGTTCTTTTAGTTCTTTAGAGACACAAATCTTACCGAGAGCACCAAGTCTGTAATTTATAGAAACTAGAATAACGTCTTTTGTCATTAAGTAATCAGGACGGTAATGAGCATCGTTGCCGTTGCCCTCGAGATAGGCTCCACCATGGATCCAAACCATAACTGGGTTTCCTTTCATTTGATGAATACTGCGTGGTATATAGATATTAAGATAAAGACAGTCTTCGCTGCCAATAACGGTTTGAGATGGCACTGCTCCAAAAAGCTCCAATTGAGTACAAACATCACCGGCATTTTTGGATGCATCTCGAATACCTTCCCAAGAAGCAGGGGGTTCGGGATCCTGATTTTGAACAACAGTATGATGCAATATCAAGTAAAACGACGTTTATATTGTAATAATCACAAGATATTAAGATAATGAATCAGAATCGAGAATTTATTATCATTTCCTTGATACGCAAATATGTTACAATAATAATAAATATCTTTTAATATCTTTAATATTTCTTATTTTAATAAAAATTTAAAGTAAATATTTT